TCTGGGGAAAAAGAATTGGTTTAGGATAGGCTTGTTGTGTTTCTAGTGTATTTTAGTAGTTCTGTTTTGTTAGTTAAGCGAGATGAGATGCATGATTTCAGTTCTTAATATTGCAACCTTTATTCACATTTCTGAAATTTAAGGGAGCAATGGTGTCTTTAAATTCAGTGCTGCTTGGACAAATAGTTTTTTAGTAAGAATTTTGCCTATAATTATTGTTAAAATCACAAGATACTATTCTTAAACATTGATATTTATTTTAAGGTTCAAGGAATGTAAGCAAGTCAGAAGAAAACTTGCTAACTCCAAAATGTGTCAATAAGGTAGTTCACCGAATGTCATGGAACAGTCCTGCTGTTATGGATTCTCAGGTGATCAGCAAGAGTGAGCAGATTCTGCCAGGACACCCTGAAATGAGAGTTGGCTCTTCAGAATCTGTTTCGTTATCTGGAAAGCCACCAGTTGTTCCGGATGAATTCAAATCCACAACTGTAAGCAAAGAAGACAACAACTTGGAACTTGTGCTTTCTGAAGAGGAAAGTAACTCAACTGCAGAAACGTTACTGAAAGTTAAGCAAGCCTTCTCTGCATCTGGAAGTATTCATCACAATTTGATAGGTGATAAGTCTTCTCTCATGAATGTGGCAGGTGAAACATTAAATGAAACTCTGTGTCCCACAGGGCTCGATCCAGGGAAAGAATTTTTAACTGAAGAAGTTTCTGAAAATCTAGCAAACGTAAAATCCAGAGAGCTGTTGCACCAACTTAATCAATCTGCTGCTGCTGCTGATAAGCAGCAATCAAAAACCCCTGAAATTAAAGTTTTGGAGAAAAGAAACTTCAAAACATCTCTTGAGATTGAACTTCAGGTCCCAAAACTAGATACAAAAAAAGTAACAGAATTTCTTGTGCCTCAAGTACTGGACAGGGAAGACAAGTTGACTGTTCAGAACAGTTCAACAAAACATGACTTAAACAAATTAAATTTCTTTGGAAGGAAAGAGGAAGTAGAATTAATACACTCACAAACAGCTGAAAACTGTGTGGTAAAATGCTGTAATTTAGAAGAAGGTACTGCTAAACTTTCTTCGGCAGGACGGCTTTCTACTTTACAATTGCCTAAATTGCAAAATGAAGTAGGCAACCAATACTTGAAAGCTGAAAATTCTGATAAAACTTTAACTAAAACATCAACTGTTTCTGATAGTGGAAAGGTTTCTGACCACATACAGTGGTTCAACAAGCTTTCATTAAATGATTCAAATTCTGCAAGCGAAACTAAACCACCTCTGAAATTTCAACGTACTCCAGTTAGACAGTCTGTAAGAAGAATGAATTCCTTGTTGGAGGCTAACAGACGATCTGTAAGCTCTCAGCCACTTAAATCGAGCAGTGTTTGTTCACCACTTGTTAAATCTTTGAGCTGTGATTCTGCACTATTCTCCTGCACAGAAAAGCCCTCAAAGAATTCCATGGTTTTGCCATGCAGGAGTGAAAGTATGTGTGACCAAATTTCTGTATGTCATAAGCAGCTGGACTTAACATCCAAATCACTTTGCAGGCCATCAAATCCATCAGAGAAGCCTGATGTTTCTGTCAGACCTGCTGGAATCCGTGATCAAAAAGTGACTGTTCATCCATCAAAATGTGTTCTAGAAGATCTAACCAATCATGAAACGGTTAAATCCAGTTTGAAAGTTAATGCAAATATAAATATTCAAGGTGCTGCCCCAGAAAAATCTACAATCGCAAGAAGTGCTCCAGGAAAAGAAAGAGTTCGTTATAGAGGTTCTCCAAAGAATCCAATATCTAAAGTGAAATTGCTACCAACTGCAAAGCCAGTAGACTTATAAGATCAAATATCATGTCTAAATGGGTTCATTGTAACTTGGTTAACCTTTGGAAAGATCTAAATTTTTATGATTTTTTTTTTTAACTCTAATTATTTGTAATTTTTGATTTATTTTAACTGCGTGAGTCGTGGAGATGTACAAATATTAATTTGTTTTGTGTTGAGGTTTTTTTCATTTACTGAAACTTCGTAAATGCTAGTCAGTTCAACTAAATGAATTTAACTTCTAAAACAAAAATAACCTGTTTCTACAAATGTTGGTGTTAGATCTCAGATTTGATTATTTAAGCTTCTAAAAACATGCTGCATCTCCCAAAACGGTTTTCGCAGTATTTAGATTAAGTACCAAGTTTAAAAAAACCCCAAACTTCTCAAATATTTAAAACAAAACTAACAGACATGGGAAAGAAAATATCTTGATGCTGAGTAGTGGTAGTTAAAGTTATTTACTTTTTAGTTTTAAGTGTATTGTAGCACTACTCGATACTACTAAGTTGGATCTTATATGAGCTCTACTTCTGAGACAATGTTTTTTATTTCTATTGGAGTAAATTGGGAGCATATTTTCCTTGTTGAGTAGGTAAATGTCAAAATAAAATTCGTGCGTGCACACACACTGGAGAATTATTAGAACACATGGAAAACAAATGTGAAGTTTATTCAAAAAGCAAAAAATCTTAAAAACTTCATCCAGTGATGTGCTCTGCAATAGGTACCAAGTATTTTCAGTTGTGAGCAGTAAAATGTTTTATCTTAATGTGAGAGGGGAGTTTTAACTTATTTTTAGAGCAATAGAATAGTGTTAACTAGATGGTGCAGAAGCTGGTTTTAGATGCTGAAAGTGTTGCAAGAGATGAATGTAAGAAGCCATACTGTGTTAAAAGTTGATTCGCAGAAGCAAATGTTTATATTTTTAGAATGAAAACTGTTTATGTCTGTCATCAGTTGTAAAATTATTTAAGAGTAAACACTTAAAACTATTCATTAGCTTTTTATAAATGCGAATTGTTTATTGGCAAAATGTTAGAGCTGAAGCACTGGATATTTTGGTTTTAATAAAACCATTGTTTTTTTCCCTTTTCTGAACTTGTTCTTCTATAATGACTTAGAAAGTTGGATTATGTTGTTATATGCACACTGTAGGCACCAAAATTAGTAAGTCTGAGAAAACTGAAGTCAGAAGCAAATCTGTTCTGGCTGTCTTTTTTGTTCATCTTAGATACAGTTTGGTGATTTTCACAACTAGCAAAAGGCATGGTGCAACACAGTTTATCAGCAGTAGTCTTCTGACCTTCTTAAACGGTATGTTAATGAAAGGAATAGTTCTTTCTGTTCCCTGCCTCCTTCCCCATGTGTCTACCAACTTGCAAGCTGAATCTGTTCAGCTGGTTGATCTGGTGTAAACCTCCTCTCTCACTCTGTTTACTACATTACTGTTAAGATCTAGGACTATGGAAACAGCCTTTAGAATATCTTAACAGGATTGCTTGGTGTTGTGGTTAAATATGGGAAGCTTCGGCTACATGAAATAAAGGAGTCGATGTAACAGTTCACCACCATCCAAAGAGGAAGCTCCTTCTCTTGGCAATATGCTCTTACCCTCTGCCTTTAGCTGGTGCAGGTAGATCCTTCAGTTGATTAAATGCAGGCACCAGAGCACCACATTTTGTATCTTCTCACTGAGGTAAATAAGGATCAGCAAAACAACTGCCAGCTTTCATAGCGGATGCAAGGAGGTAGGAGCTGAAAATAGGACAGAAGGAAATGAAGGCAATGTCAGGAAGAAAATGAGATCTGACTCCTGTAATAGTGAGCTGTCATATCAATTTTTGTTTAAAGAGTAAGGCTTGAGATTTTATTTTCCTATTAGTATGTACCAAATATTTTGAATGCTAGTGCAGCTTTGACAATGTGTCCCAGATGGAGCAGTAAGCTACTTTTGATGATCGATGCAGCCAATCTTCAACCACTAGACTTAGATGTCAGAAAGGGAGAATTTGGTAGGGCCTTGACAAAGAAAGCTTTAAATTGCCATTAAAAAAAATGTCAAAGTTTAGGCTCTGTTTTTACAGGTTTTGCAGAACAGTTTGGATATATATCCATGTCTATAAAGTTGATTATGTTTTGCAGAAAGAAACACTAAGATGCCAAGTAGAAGTCCCTACTGCTTAATCTTGCTTGTATAATGTACTATAGAACGGCAAAAAGAGAGAATAGTCTATATTTGAAAGTGTAGGCTATGGATCTGTTGGGGTTTATGTAGTATAATCTCGGAGTTTCTCTTTAGCTAGCTATCCTAAAATGGAACGTGACACATTCCCATCAGTAGCAGTGAAGATGTGATAAATTAGCCTTTAGAAGTTACCATTTTGACAAGTACTATTAAGTGGTGCACTTCATTCTTTTATAGTTTTCTTCTTGATAACCTTTGCTATGGATGATGTGTATAGATCTGCTTAATCTGGGGACCTTCACCTATAAATCCTTGGAGACGGTTCCCATGTTGATACCTTGTAAACCTGTAGTTAGGTAAACACTATCATTCCATAAGTAAATCATATTATTCTGGGAAGAGAAATCACAGTGAGAAGAGGGATACAGTCCCAGGAATATGTAATAGCTTATTTCTGTAACTTAATCCATCACAACCCTTCAGTTTTATTTTTAGACTATTGTGTTTAGCTGAAAAGGGAGATCTTTAATATCTCCCCAAGCTTTGTGTCATCTTAACGGGACAAGCCCACGCCACGAGGGCACGGTCCCTGTACGTACCTCGGGCAGCTCCCGGCGCGGGGAAGGGGGAGAGGCCGTGTCTGCGCACGGAGGATGCGCGGCCGCGGAGCCGCCGCAGCCGCCGAGCCGCGCTGGGAGCGGGAGGTGAGCGGGGCGCTCCGCGGGGCGGCGGGGCCGGGCCCGACCCGGGGGGTCGGTGCTGCCGCAGAGCTGCCCTGGGGCCGGGTCACGGCCCATCTGCCCGGGGGGGGCGGCACAGAAGGGCGCGGTGGTGCGGGCAGCGGAGTGGCAGCCCTGCTCCTCTGCGGATTAAAGGGAGTGTTCTGTGGAAAGCGGGCTTTTTTCCTCGATAGAGAGACTGCAGAGGCTGATGAAGCGGGAGGGTTGCGAGGGGCGTGCGGTGCGGTGGGGGAGCCGCGCACAGGCGTAGCTGGGAATATTCCCAGCATTGGGGTTTTCAGCCATTTTTGCCTCAAAGACGTTTCCAGGTGCCTTCCGTCGAGCGGCTGGAGTGTTGGAGCATCTTTAACTGTCTGGAGAAATCGGACAGCTGTGCGTGTGTGAAGGACACACGGGTGGGCACCAGGGGGAATCGAGGGGGTTTTGTTTATCTAAGGGATTGGAAGTGATGCATTTTAATTATTTTCTGATGTGAGGGGAAAAGGAGCTTTGAGAAAACAAGCGTTTTAATTGAAATTCAGCCTCTCAAAGAGGACAGTAAGTGGTGCTTGGTTGTTGTTTTTGTTGATGGCTTTGGGGTTTTTTTTCCTAATTAAACTACACTGAGCAGCTATTTAGTGAAAGGGATTCAAGGAAACAAACCAATTTGCTTCAGGTGGGAAAGACGATGCATACGAAGTAGGAAGCCTTTTGTCTTCAGCTGCAAAAAAACCATATCTAGGTTGTTCAGAGGTTTCTCGTTATTCGTTTTTCACTCAATGCAAGAATAGGGCTTGGAAAATACAGTTCCTGCCTGAAGAGTTCTTAGTCCAGAGCTTTATAAAATAGCATAATAAACATGGGGGGGAGGGGGAAGGGGAGGGGTGTAGTGGATGACGTATTCTCATTAAATGAAAAAGTGGATTCGTTTTGTTTGCAGTGACTGTTAATGAATGTTATGGGCAAATACAAATCAGAAAACTGATTTCTGCAGTTTGCTACTTAATATTTCTTTTAAAAGGGAAGAACAAACCCACCCTGTTTTCCCCCCTCCTCCACTCCCAGTTTCCACCTGGCTAGACTTTCAGCTGCCCCTAGAAGCTGTGGTAGTAAACTGTGATGTCCGGTGGTAATATCAGATGTTATTTCCACCATGTGTACAGGACTTTTTTCCCCACTGTAATTTATAATCAAATTCTTTTCTTTTTCACAGAATAAAAGTGGCTACCACTATGATAACTACCTTGTTTTGCAACATGATGTTTCTGCTGGCATTTGGATTGGCTTCAGCGTTTAGCCACAGCCCTAGAATGCCTGACAGGGTTACTGAAGCAGATATACAAAGGCTCCTCCATGGGGTTATGGAGCAATTGGGCATTGCCAGACCCCGGGTAGAATATCCAGCACACCAGGCTATGAATCTTGTTGGTCCACAGAACATTGAAGGTAGCTGATTTCTACTTTGACTTGTGATGAATTTATTAGTATGCTTTGGTAATAATTAATATTTTGTTTATAGATGCAGAAAGAATATCCTGATCTTAAAATCATGGACTCTTCACCATGCTGTTGCTTGATCTTTGTTTTAATATCATCATTCATCTTCTACCTTCCTTAATGTAATGATTTTGGCAGAAGTAGTGGGGTTTTTTAATGTACAGGCTTTGCAGAAAAAGTTATGTTACCTTAGCAGTGTCTGATCTCTAGTACCTCAAAACTATGGCTTTACTAAATTATGCCTGAATATTGTGCATAAATATATCACATATATGTTCTATAATAAACAAATGTGGCCTATAGAGTCCAAATCTCTTGGATTTTTGTAAACATTTGCAGACCAAAAGAGATCAAGTGTTTGCAGTGCCATGCAAGATAAAGGGATAAACCTTACATTGAGATTTTTCCTTCATGCTGCAGAACCCTGTAGGATTCTGCAGGATCCCTTCTGGAGCACACAGGAGGAAGCCAGGGCTCAAGATGCAGGTGGTAAGGATATGGGTGCTCCTCTCCCTGCATCCATAAGTAGCACCTCAACACTGTATTGCTGTGATGAATGCTCTGGGCTCAGCTTCATTTTTTTGGCCCATATCTCTGATCTCACACTGTGTAAGTTTTCCTTGGAATAAGTCATTTATAGGTATGTAAATCATCTGAAATATCTGGCTCAAATGTTAGAGTATTGTGATGGTGTTGCAATGTGTTGCTATTTTAACTGTACAAACCAGCTTTTATTTTGGCATGACAGCAAAAGCTTGAAGGTATGCAACTCCAAATATTATTGTTTATGTTCGAAAAACATCAAAACAGACCTTGTAACAAATGCTGCTTTTCATGGAATGTTCTTCAGTAAGTTTTTCAGATAGTAATCATTTGCTCTTTCTTTGGTTTCTTGTGATGATATGTGTCTGTCTATAGGTAGATATCTTTTAATGTATCTGATTGGAAACATCAGCCTACAGAAGTGTTGGTTGCAGTTTCAAATGGTCTTTCATTGTTCCACACAGTATTTTCTCATGCTGCTTTTTTCAAAAAGTACATAAAATTCAGTAAATTTTCACCATGAGTTTATCTTTAAATATAGACCATGAATTATAGGATAGTTAATCCATCAAAACTTGCATTTCATTCCGTATGGGTTATTTTAACTATTACATTGTGAAAGATTTCACAATTGAGTATACCAATTACTAATCAGTTAACAAGGCTCTGTTTCATCCTCTTTGAATATTTATTTCTGCTTAATATGGAGAGAAACCTGCACGATGGGTTTGACTTTCTGTTAGGTATCTACTTTGGAAACAGAACTGCTAAAATGGCATGGTAAGACATCTATTCAAAACAGTCTAGTTCTGTAAGAGATACATAATGCTTTCGTATATGGTGTCTGCCTCAAAAACTGCAGTTTTTACCATTTTCCCCACAGCCTGCCCACTACTCAATTCTTGACAGGGGATTGACATTCCTGACCTCCCAGTGGCTCCAGTCAGCCAACATTTTCTGATCAAAAGAGAGTAGAGCTGGATTCAGGCAAGGACCTCATTGTCTGGTGAGGAATGAGCATAGGAGGCATTTGAATGAGGACTCCTATGAGTTAATGACCTATTATGGATAAATGAAGTGTAATGCTCAGTACAGTAAAAACATTGTGACTTTTCTGAATGGTTTTTTGTTTGTTTGTTTGTTTGAGGGGGCAGGAAAGGGGACACAGATGGATCTTACACACATATTTTATGATATTCAGTCACATAATGCAGAAACAATTCTCTCAGAGGAGAAAGCACCAATCTCTGCTCTGTTAAACAATTCTGCGGGACTTTCTGGATAAATGTTTTTGATGGCGGTACATTCTTACAGCTTGCTTGTGTCTCAGGTACTTCTTGGTCAATGCACAAGGAGTCGAACTGAGCAGCACAAGGAACAGTGTGACTTTGTGACTGATATTCCCAGTGGTGTCCATGTAAGAAATCAATTTATAGTTGAGTTATAGAACAAATAAGTACATGTGTTTTTAAATAGCACCAGTACAAGATTTCAAATTCTGAAGGATTTCCACAACGTAGTCACACTGTTATCATTGGCTAATAATTCTGTGTGCAAGTGCTTAAAAAAATCTATGTGATAATAGAAAGGAAAACTAAGGCAAAAGGGAAGAAAGAGGTTTGACAACTATTAGAATGTGTCACAGCAAAACAAGTTTTTCATTCTAAATACCATCATGGCAAAGTGGTAATTCACTAACTACTCTCCTGAGGCACTGTCTTCATTGGGAATTTTTGCCTGAAAGTAGTGGAGAGTAGGATTGGGTATGAAATGTTTATTATTTATTAGAAATTCTGAACTGCCAAGAGTGTTGACTTCCAGATGTTTTTCCAGACTGTAGGTTTCAGTGACCAATGTAGACAGTTTAAAATCAAGTTCATCCCATGACAGCATCTTCATCATTAGTGCACTGACTGTTCTGGGGTGCATTTGTTTCTCGTTTTGACCAGGAATTGCAACTCAGCATTAAAAAAACCCCTTTATCAGTCAGAGCTTAGTAAATTATGTTCCTACAGAAAATTGTTTTACTTAACAAAATGCTTTTGTCAGAAATAGCCCCAGCAGCATAGACCTGCAGCAGTGGTGATAGCTGTGAGTGCCATCAGCTTTAGCCAGGCCATGATTTCAGAAGTACCACTGATTTTCAAAACGCCAAGATTTCACCCATTATATGTGTACACTTGCAAGCAACATACTGTCAGGAAAAAATTAATTTCTGTGGCTTTGGAATTTGGAAACAAATTTAGGCTGCCATAATATGGACAATTTTATACTAGCAGCCTGATTATAATGATATGTTTGCAAATCTGAGTGATTATTGTAATAACCTTTTCCAACTGAAATTTTATATGCCACAAAAATACCATTGCTGTTAGTTCACAAGCAGATTTCCGAATTATACTCATTTTCCATCTCAGCTGTCTACATTTTTTTTCTGGTGTTAATCATCGTATTTTGACTTTAAAATACTAGAAACTAGAGGGTAGATGTGTTACAAGGAACTATACATGGTCATCCCCATCCTTACCCTCGCCTCCCTCCCCCCCACCAAAAAAAAAAAAAATTTGAGACTGTATTGGCTGTAGAAAGTGAAGTCACAAACTTATTCTATACCAAGGACAACTAAAAATTGGACACTTTTCAGAAAATACATTTAGTAGCATGTGTTCTCTTTCTGAAGTGACCAGACAGTTTTCTTGATTGATAGAAAAAAAATTACAGTTTCTTAATTGAAAGAAGTTACTGCCTTTTCTTATGTTAAAATCTATAAATACATGGGGTTTTTTTCTTCTCCTTCTCTTTTCAGTTGTCAATTTGCCTGTTACTTCAGGTCAGGCTGCTAAAATGGGAGTAAAGTCTAGAAAATGCCTGATAAAAAGTTTAATCTACCGAGAAAGTACTGTGAAGTTCAGAGGGATGCAGAGGCAGTGTGAGCTCTCCTCTATTAATTAAGTGGAATAGGACAAATATATCACAGAAATGGGAATTTGCTGTCTGATTCCCTATGCTTGTGTACCATAGCCAGCAGATGGTGCATAGCATGTTAGCATGGCAGAAGCCAGAGATATCCTACATGATGAGTGAAAATGTTTTAAATACCTGAAGGTGGTATCTTAGGATCAGCTGCTTTTGCTGGCCACTTGAGTTTCTTTCTGTACACCCCCTGATTCCTAAAACTAATAAACTCATATTAACTACTCTAATTTCTATAATAATATTCCCTCTCCTTGTTGATTCATCTTTTCAGAAAGCTATGTTGGAGTCACTTAGCAGTGTCTATAAAAAGGGGAAAACATAGAAAGGCAAAATAAGAATTTTTAATGAGTAGCTGTGTTTTAGTAGTTACTGTTTAGCTTTATCACTAAAATACTATACAAGCCCTACTGGGCTATATTCAAGTTTTATACAGATAAGAAGACAGCTGCATCTGTGTTAAAAGAGAACAATAGAATAAAATAAAGAAATGCATTCAACATTCAAAAACATAGAAGTTAATTTTTCTGCTTGGCAGGAATTTTACAAAGTAAGAGACCACTTTTTTTTTCTTTCATTGCATGCTTACATGTTCGTGCCAATATTTAAAGGGATTTGGGATTGTTTATTTGTTTGTTTGTTTGTTTTCCTGAGGAGGGGAAGGGACATACATAATACAAATTTCAGGACAACTATACCATGCATAGGAGAACAGTAAAAATCTCACTTAAACACACGGGGGCACCACTAGTTCAACTCGGGCAGTTTATAGCACTTTAAATTCATAATGGGAAATATGAACTCCTATTTTCATTTTGCAAATATCATTGTCTACCATAAATTCAGTACCCCAGAAAGCCTCTTGTGTGGTTGGTTGGTTTGTGTTTGATTTGGTTGTTTTGTTTTTATTTCTTAAAAGCACTTCAAGTGAAATGATTGTTGGTAAAGGTGCTGACGTGACAGCCTAGGTCTGAAGTTTTCCATCTGCAGAAGAGGCACAATGTTGTCAACCTCAGAGACAACATTAAATGATGTATCCTAAATCCTATTCGTTTGTAGGCATAAGAAAATATGAAAAATATGATGCCTCTTAGGGAGGCTTTTGACTCTCCTGCTGAGACTGCTTGTAGCTACTGAGAAAAGACTGGGGTTTGTTTGATTATTTTGAAAGGAAATGAATACCTGTTTATTGCTTCAGAAAAATGTTGTTACTGTTTCCCTGATTGAGATGATAAGAGAGTCTGGAACATTTTGCAAATATTTCTACTAACAACTGGTAGTTAATGACTTGTCAGCACAGACTCTGTACAAATAGCACTTTGCATGAAACCTACTGTCTGCAAAATTATGCAGATTACTCATGCATGTTAATAATGTATGTTTTGTTTGCATTTTACTAATAAGAAAACTTAAGTGCTGTATAACTTTGCTGT